CCCCAAAACCCCAAAACCCCAAAACCCCAAAACCCCTTTTAAGATGAGTTAAAATGAAGGAACTCGGATAATTTCTTATTATTAATTCTATTGGTCTCTAGAAAATGAACTTAGTGAAAGATAGAATTTCTTGAACATAGGTTTAAATTAACGTAAAGCCTTAAGTCGTTAAAAGCTAATTAGTTAGAGTTATCTTACACTCGATGGTTGAGAAATTTGGCAAGTAAGAGCCCCACACCAGCCATTTGCGCTTATTCATCTACCTTTTCTTTTCACATTTGACAGTACCAATTTCCTTCTGGCATTGTGGTGAGACCGACTCAATCGAAGTGGAACCATTCTATTGGGCATTCTTTTCGATCTCAGGCGACCATGTTTCCAAAAGAAATGGTTTGGCAGAATCAGAAATATTCAGAATCGTCATTATTGTGATTATCCTTCAGCTCTCCTAAATAATTGTTCATGTTATTCCTTGAGATGATTTCTTCTTGCTTCTTGGCAGCTTTGTCAAGTGCAATAATTCGACTGATCTCTTGATCCACTTTGGTTCTTTTAGCTCGTTTGACTGGTTTTGGCGGAATCTCTTCATCTTCGCCAATGGCCTCCCTCAAAATTTTGGATTTCCTCTTCTTCCGCTTGGATTTCCGCAAGAGTTGAGGCTGAGAAGATGCTTTGGAGCAACTTTCACTAAGGTTAAAATTATCTCCAGAATACTCTTTTTCATCTGATTCAGAAAGCTTCATCCTTTTTAGGATTGGAGAAGATTCAAATATTGAGAGAGAATCCAACTGAGATGGAGACTTAAGACAGCTCATAACTGATTTAGGATAACTCCTTCTTGCTGTTATTAAGGAGTCACCGCATGATTGGGAGTCAACGCCAGATTTGGCCTTGAAGTCCTTATTTTTACTAGAATAAAGGTCATTTGTAGTCCTGAGAGAATCTTTCGACATATTCTCAGATTGTATGTACTCAAATGCTGTTGAGGGTCTAATGTTGTTCCTGGAAAGGTAGTCTTTCCTCCTTTTAGTTTGGTTATCAACTTTCTCTAGCTCATTGTTAAGAATTGTTGTTAGAGTTGTGTAGGCCTGCGATTTCTGGGCCAATAAATCTTTTATTTCACTATCTAAATTTCATATCATTTGGGCTTGCTTGACATTCCGGGCTCGCTTAGTCTCTGAAAATTTTCTTAAATGCATCTGAAGTTTACGATTTCTTTGCTTTAGAAGTGATTCCAGCTTTTTTAGAGTTGATTGAGCTCTCGTGGTTTTGATAGAGATGGACACTCACGATGCCATTGAACCTTCCGGCTCGTTCATTTTAATAATAATTACAATCTAGACTACTAGCCTTGGGGTTTTGGGGTTTTGGGGTTTTGGGGTTTTGGGGTTTTGGGGTTTTGGGG